ACTACCATTCTACTTTCTGTTTTACTACTTTAGATACTTCAGTAAGTGGAATCATATGATATTTGTCCTGTGACTGGCTTCTCTCACTTAGCCTGTAGTCCACAAGTTTCATTCATGTTATAGCATAATGACATGTAGGATTTCTACTTTTTAAAGACTACATAATATTCCATTGTATTTATATGCCACATTTTCTTTATCTGTTCATCAGTCAGTGGACATTTAGGTTTTTCTACCTGTTGGCTATTGTGAATAATGCTGGGGTGAACATAGGAGTGCATATATCTCTTTAAGATGCTACTTTTAGCTCTTAATACCTAGAAATGGGATTGTTGGATTGTGTGGTAGTTCTAATTTTTATTTCTAGAGGAGCTTCCATACTGTTCTTCATAGCAGCTGTACCACTACCACTTTACATTCCCACCAACAGTACACAAGGGTCCCACTTCTTCGTATCCTTGCCAACATTTGTAATTTTCTGGTTTTTTGAAAATGGCTGTCCTAACAGGTATGTGGTATCTCATTGTGTTTTTCATTGACATTTCTCTGTTGATGAGTAATATTGAACATCTTTTCATGTATCTATTGGCTATTTGTATTTCTTCTTTGGAGAAATGTTTAAGTCTTTTGCCATATTTTAACCATGTTGTTTCCTTGCCATCAAGTTGTAGAGTTCCTTAGATATTTTAGATATTAAATATGACTTGCAAATATTTTCTGTTACTCCATAGGTTGCCTTTTCACTCTATTTATTGTTTCCTTTGCTGTGCAGGGCTTTTTAGTTTGATGTAGTCCCACTTATCTATTTCTGTTTTTGTTGCATGTGTTTTTGGTGTCATGTCAAAGAAATCACTGCCAAGACTAACGTGAAGAAGTTTTTCCTCCATGTTTTCTTCTAGGAGTTTTACAGTCTTAGGTCTTATATTTAAACCTTTAGTCCATTTTGAATTGATTATTGTGTATGGCATAAGATAAGGGTCCAGTTTCATTATTTAGCATGTGACTGTCTTGTCTTCTCAACATTTTGTTAAAGAGAGACTATCTTTTTCTCATGTTGTATTCTTGGCACACTTGTGGAAGATCAGTTGACTGTAGCTTCATGGGTTTATTTCTAGGCTCTCAAATTGTTTCCATTGACCTATTTGTACAGTGTTTATGCCAGTACCATACTGTTTTGATTACGGTAGCTTTGTAATATATTGTGAAATAAGGAAGTGTGTGGCTACTAGCTTTGTTCTTTCCCAAGAGTGTTGTGGTTATTTGGTATCATCTGTGGTTCTATATGAATTTGGGGATTGTTTTTTTTATTTGTGTAAAAATTGCCATTGGGACTTTGATAGAGATTGCATTGAATCTGTAGACTGCTTTGGATAGTATGGATATATTAATACTAAGTCTTCTAATTCATGAACACAGGATATATTTTCATTTATTTGTGTCTTTTTAAATTTATTTCAGCAACATTTGTAGTTTTCAGAGTACAAGTCTTTCACCTCCTTGGTTAAGTCCTTTTTTCCATATTTTATTTTTTTCAATACTGTTGTAAATGGGATAACTTTCTTAGTTTTCTCTTCATACTGTTCATTAGTAGTGTATAGAAACCACAACTGATTTTCCTGTTTGTATCCTCTTCACTTTCTTTCACCAATGTTTTGTAGTTTTTCTTGTAGAGGACTTTCACCTCCTTGATTGAATTTATTTCTAGGTATTTTATTTTGCTTTTTGTAGCTATTATAAATATTGCCTTCTTGATTTCTTTTATAGCTAGTTCACAGTTGAAATGCTACTGATTTTTGTATGTTGATTTTGTATGCTGCAACTCTACAGATTTTGCATATCTGTTCTAAGAGCTTTTTGGTAGAGTCTCTTAGGTTTTTTTGTTTTGTTTTGTTTTTCTGTATATAAGATCATGTTGTCTACAAACAGGGATAATTTGACTTCCTCCTTTGTGCTTTGGATACCTTTTATGTCTTTCCTTTATCTAATTGTTCTGGCTAGGACTTCCACTACTGTGTTGAATAAGAGTAGTGAGAGTGAGTATTGTTGTCTTTTGCCAGTTCATAGAGGAAAAGCTTTCAGCTTTTCTCTGTTCAGTATGATGTCTAATTCTTCTTTGTTGTTGAATCTTTAGTGTTTTCTACATGTATGATCAGTTCAACTGTGAACAGAGATAATTTTACTTCTTTCTTTCTGATTTGGATGCGTTTTACTTCTGTTTCTTGCCTATTTGCTCTCGCAAGAACTTCCAGTACTATGCTGAATAGAAGTGATGAGAGTAGGCATCCATGCCTTGTACCTGATCCTAGAGGAAAAGCTTTCAGTTTTTTAATACTGAATATTGTGTTAGCTGTGGACTTTACATATATGGCCTTTATTATGTTGAGATAATTTCATTTTATTAGTAGTTGAGTGTCTTCATCATTGAAACAATATTGAATTTTATCAAAAATTTTGTCTGCATCTATTGAGATGATCATATAATTTTATCTTTTTTTCTATTAATATGTGATATTGATCAATTTTTGTATATTGATTCATCCTTGCATCCCAGGGATAAATCCCCCTTGGTCATGGTGTATAATCTTCTTAATGTGCTATTTAATTTGGTTTGGTAATATTTTGTTGAGGATTTTTACATCTGTTTATTGGTCTGTATTTTTCTTACAGTGTTTTTGTCTGGGTTGGTTTCAGGGTAATCCTGGCCTCATAGAATAGCTAGCATGTAGTTGGATCTTGTTTATCCATTCAGGTACTCTGTCTTTTGGAGAGTTTATTAATATTTAATGTAACTATTGCTAGCAAAGGACTTACTATTACCATTTGTTCATTGTTTTCTGTCTCTCTTTTAGCTCTTGTGTCTCTCTGTCAGCTGTCTTCCTTTATGGTTCATTGGGTTTTTTGGTAGTGACATACTTTCACATATTTCTCATTTTCCTCTGTATATGCCCTATAGGTATAGGGCATGGTAAACAATCTGTTTGAAGCTGATAACATCTTAAGTTCAGTCACATATAAGAGCTCATTTTACTTCTCTTGATTTGTTTGTTTGTTTTTTTGAGACAGGGTCTCACTCTGTTGCCCAGGCTTGAGTGTGGTGGTGTGATGTGATCATAATTCACTACAGCCTCAAACTCCTGAGCTCTGGTAATCCTCCTGCCTCAGCCTCCCAAATAGCTGAGACTAGTAAAGTTGGCCAGTTGCTTACAAGTAGCGCATGCCACCCTGTCTCTTTTGTAGCGACAGGGTCTCACTGTGTTGTCCAAACTGATCTCACACTCCTGAACTCAAGCGATCCTTCCACCTCAGCCTCCCAAAGCACTGGGATTACAGGGGTGAGCCACTGTACCTACCCTCCCATGCCTAATAGGAGGAATAATTTATCTTATTTTTCTGGGGATATTAGTTATGGTTTGTTGAAGTTTTTTCCTCCCATTTCTTTTTTTTTCTGTATGTTTGTTGTGTTCTCTCTTTCACATTAGAGGATTTCCTAAGTTGCCTGATAATCCATGCCCAACTTTATAGGTAGGGACCAAAAAGCAGATTGGAATCTCTAAGCACACAAGTGGCTCTTGTTGACTTTGAGCTTCACTTTAAAGTGGTCTGGCTGGGCCATTTGTTGGAGAAACTCCTCATCCCAAGTCAGTATTTTCATATCTTTCCTCCTAGGACTTACCAGTTTTCCCAGAGAAGACTGTTCCAAACTCTTTGTTAGGAGGATACTACCAGCATTCTAGGAGCCAAATGGCAAGGTCTAGGAGGACCTCAACATTTAGTATGCATTCTTTCTCTTAGTCTCCTTGTTTTCAGAAACAGTATTCAGATCTTCAACTATGTATGGCATTCCTTGTCGTCTGGTGATAAGCCTCAAGTATTCTACCAGGATTGGCAAGTTTTCTTTTACCCATAGTATATTGTGAGGGAGGGTATTTAAAGATCAAATTGGCTTTTAGACAGCCTTCAACCCAGCTGCCTTATTTTAACCCCATCTTTTCACATTTATTTCTGAAGGTAAGTGAAATAGTCAGTTTGGGAACTATTTCAGGATTCTGAAGTGGTGACAGGTGGGTTCTTGTTTTTCTCCACTACCAGCTTAAAATTCAGCTTTCTCCAGTGTGCTGAGTTGGTTCCTGCTCATCCAGTTTTTCATCTTCCAGACTATTACTGCTGTTATCTCCTTTTCTTGTTCCTCCTGACCTCCTTGGCTTGTGTTTTTGTTTTTTTAAGTTCCCATAGTAACCGGGCGTGGTGGCTCACGCCTGTAATCCCAGCATTTTGGGAGGCTAAGGTGGGTGGATCACAAGGTCAGGAGCTCAAGACCAACCTGGCCAAGATGTTGAAACTCCATCTCTAATAAAGAATACAAAAATTAGCTGGGCATAGTGGTGGGCGCCTATAATCCCAGTTACTGGGGAGGTTGAGGCAGAGAATTGCTTGAACCTGGGAGGCAGAGATTGCAGTGAGCCAAGATCATATCACTGCACTCCAGCCTGGCTGGCAGAGTGAGACTCTCTCTGAAAAAACAAACAACAACAACAAAAAGGTTCCCATAGTTTTAGAGAGTTTTCTGGATGGAATGAAATTAAATGAATGTGTTCAGTCTGCCATTTTTATGTGAAACTAATTCTAATCATAATGAAAGAGTTGCCTATGGCTGGGCGTGGTAGCCCACACCTATAATCCCAGCACTTTGGGTGGCCAAAGTGGTTGGATCACCTGAGGTTGGGAGTTCGAGACCAGCCTGGCCAACATGGTAAAACTCCATCTCTACTAAAAATACAAAAATTAGCCATGTATGGTGGTGCATGACTGTAATCCCAGCTACTTGGGAGGCTGAGGCATGAGAATCACTTGAACCCGGGAGGCGGAGGTTGCAATGAGCCGAGATTACACCACTGCACTCCAGCCTGGGTGACAGAGTAAAACTGTCTCAAAAAAGAAAAAGAAAAGAGTTGCCTTATCTCCTTTATATGATATTTTGGTTGATCCTCAATTTGTTTTAGGTGTTATACCTGAAGAACCTTAGCCCTCGAGTGACTGAAAGAGATCTTGTGTCATTGTTCGCTCGGTTCCAGGAGAAAAAAGGACCTGCAATTCAATTCCGAATGATGACTGGACGAATGAGGGGCCAGGCTTTCATCACCTTTCCCAGTAAGTAATTTAATCCAGATGATTACCCAGTTGCCCCTCAGTTCACTAGAGTCTACCTATAACCTCTCTAATTTAGATATAGTCCTTTGATTTCTTCACAGCATGTGAGAACAAGAGAAAGAACGGAAAATATGTTTTCAGTGTTTCCTCTCCTCCATTGACAATGCATGACCACGTTACCCCAGTGTCCTCAAATTTCCCAGTCTTGACACTTCCTTCTTATCCTACCAAAATCTATACTCCCTTCACTGATGATAGGATTTCTATTCCAAGTTAAAATTAGATTACTCATTAATTAATGTATTAGTATTCTGATCCGAACACATGTACTTGCCTTATGCCCTGTTCCTTTAGGACTCAGTGAGTGCAAGCTAATGTACTAATTTATTACTAATTCATAATTAGTAGATGATGATAGTCTTCTAAATATTATTTGCATATTAATGCATGGCTTCTAATCCAAAGGGAAGAATAATATAAGAATTTTAGTTTCTGTGACAGACCAGATAATATGTTGTTTTGTGGGGAGGCTTTGTAGAATCTGTACCTTTCATTGTCCCTAAAGTATCATCATTTCTAAATAGCCTATTAATCTATGTGTAGGCAAGTGATTTTACACATGAGTACTGCTAAGCCCCCCTCCATTGTTTTCATACCGTCTTGTACCATCTTTCCTATTGTACTAAAGATTTTTTTAAATCCTCTATATCAGTAGTTTTCAGTTTTTTTCAAGGGTAAGAACCCCTTTTGAATTTATAAAACAGTTTATGGGCACTCCACATGATATGATGTATAATTGAAAAAATACTTAATAAAAAGGCTTTATAAAGCAAGGACTTTAAAATGTGTAGCTATTTACTACTCTTAAAGGTATACACTTTAAAAGATTTCTAGTACATATATATATGAAACAAAATTGTTTTAGTCTATTTGTCTACTTATGATACCACAAACTCCTGGCCATAAATCACCCCTTCCTTATTCTTACATCCAGGCTTTTAGACCCATAAGTTGAATACTCCCGGCATATAGTATATATTCTCACATTTCAACCCATATACCTGCAAGGATTCTTAAACTTATTCATCCCAATAAGGTGGCCCAGAACCACTCTCCCACTGAAAAACATAAAGTGGCAAGGTGCCCTTAATAACATGATAACTTATTTTGTTTGTGTTACTCATTTCGAAAATGATTTGGTTCTCACAGTACCTATAATCAGTTATGTAAGATAGAGGCTTGTGTATAATTACTAATAGCTTAGACTTCTTTAGCACACTGCCTATATCCTTGTTTCTCTACTTATTTCTTTGAATTAGGAGACACCCTCAAACACCCATTTTGAGTTTTTATTATTATTTTTAGACATTAGTTTAATTTTGTTGAATAATGCAAATGGGAGATTATAGAAAAAATGATAAAATCAAATGATTATATGGTCTTACAGCTTACATTTAACTCCAAGGCAAAATAACCAAAACTAGACCTGGAATAGAATTAAATTATTAAGTCCTATGTAAATTGATATTTTTTCTTTCTCTTTTAGATAAGGAGGTAGCATGGCAAGCATTGCATCTAGTAAATGGATATAAACTACGTGGGAGAATACTGGTGATAGAGTTTGGAAAGAACAAAAAGCAACAGTCAAATCTCCAAGCTACTTCTCTCATATCATGTGCTACAGGTAGCACTACAGAAATAAGTGGTAGCTAGAATATATATAGATTGTGGGTCTTGGATGGTCTTTCTTGTGATGGAATCTTGGATCTAGGATTTATGTATAGACATTAGTTTGTTTGGAGTTGAAGAGGAAAAACTAACTGAGGGAGGGGAAAAAATTAATTCAGGAAACCCCTTTCAACTTTTGGAGAGAACTAGTAGAAAACATTTTCTATTATATAATTGAAAACTATATGGGACAGATGATATATGCTGAGTATGAAGGGTAGAGTGCTAAGAGTATTATTTTCTCAGGATAAATTACAAGGGATTATTCCTAAGGATTTTTTAAAATCTTTATAATTTTTCTGGGGTCCTCAATATTTGTCCCTAGGGATAACATTCTTTCTTAGACTGCTTCCTATATACAGAAATAAAAAACTAATTAAATGTTGAAATATTTCTTTACTAGAGCCCATTTGTCCATATTTCATCCACCTAGTAAATAAAAGAGCAGGACCCCAGGCCTAAGCATCAACAAATGCTATTAAGTCAGAACTCTCATCAGTAATAGTAGGTAGTTTCATAAGTCAGTTGACATATTTAATGAATGCTTCCTCCACAAGTTATCAGTCTTCAAAAAGCTATATATTTTTCTAGTTAAATCTTTTAGATCAAAATGTTGGTGTTCTCATAGCCATTTAAGCTAACAACCATTGAGTAATCATTGAATTCAAAGCAATAAACATTGATTAAGTGTCTAATATATGTTAATATTAGGCATATGAATTTTAGAAGAGGAACATACTAGCAAAGAATACCAAAGGGAAGTGGGAAAAAAGAGTCCTCTAGATAGAGGATGCCAGTCACAAATCCCCCAGTTGTTTTTTATGGTTTCTGGAAAATAAAAAGATAATATATAGAGAGGAAGTAGTATAAACTGGAGTCAGACCTGTACAGCCACTCATAACATTCAGTGACCTTGGCAAGTCACTTAATTTGAGCCTCGCTTTCTTCATCTATAAAGTGAGGATAATAATGCTACTTACCTCATTGGGTTGTGAAGATGAACTGAGATATTATCCAGGCTGAAGAACAGAAAGAAAAAATATGAATAAAATTGAGCAAGAGTATAGAACCTGTGTGACACCATTAATTAAGCATTCCTACATATTTGTAATGGGAGTACAGGAAAAAAGGAAGAGAAAAGAAGGAGCAGAAAAATATTCTAAGGAATAATGGCTATAAATACCCCCAATTTGATGAGAGACATTAACCTACACATCCAAGAAGAAAAAGAAATTACAGATACATCATAAGAAAAATGCAAAAACCCAAAAATAAATCTTGACAGCAATATGAGAAAAATGAGGAACTCAAATAAAATTAACAGTTGACTTCTCCTCAGAAACAGTGGCAGTGGCAGTGGAATAACACATTCAAAGTATTCAAAGAGAATAACTGTCAACCAATAATCCTATATACATTAAAACTATTTTTCAAAAATGAAGGTGAAATAAAACATCTCACATAAATCAAAACTAAGAGAGTTTGTTGCTGGCAGACTTGACTTACTGGAAATACAAAAGGAAATTCTTCGGGCTGAAAGCAAGTGACCTCAGACAGTAATCTGAATCTACGCACATGCAGCAAAAGAGCACAGGCAAAAATATTTATGTAATTATCAGAAACAATCTATGCATTTTTTTCCTCCTAACTAATGTAAAAAGCAATTGCATAAAACAATATGTATATAGTTGCATTGTTTGGCCTATAACATATAAAATATATATTTGCAAATAACAGGGCAAAAAGCTGAGTTGAAGTAAAACTGTGTTGTACTAAAGAACTGATTCCAGATGGTAACACAAATCAACAGGAACAAATGGAGAGAACGTGAAATAGAAAGAAGTCTAATACAAAAAAGAATCTATAAACATTCTTCTCTCAGCTTGTTTTAAAGATGTAAAATTATATTAAGTAATTATAATAATGTGTGTTAGGTTTATAATGTATAGAAATAACATGTATAACAATACCACAAAGAGAGGGTGGATTTATATAGGAATAGGATTGTTACATTGGAATTAAGTTAGTATTTATCTGAATCCTGTTAGTTAAGATGCGTATGGTAAGCCCTAGAGCAACCACTAAGGTAATATCTTTTAAAAAATCAAAAATATTATTAAAGAAATGTAAATATCACATTATGAAATACTCAGTGCAAAAGAAGGAATGGAGAAGCAAAAAGCTTGAGGCATATCGAAAACAAACAGTAAAATGGCAGTCGTAAACCTTCGTATATCAAAATAACAGTAAGGGCCGGGCACAGTGGCTCAAGCCTGTAATCCCAGTACTTTGGGAGGCCGAGGCGGGTGGATCACGAGGTCAAGAGATCGAGACCATCCTGGTCAACAAGGTGAAACCCCGTCTCTACTAAAAATACAAAAATTAGCTGGGCATGGTGGCACGTGCCTGTAGTCCCAGCTACTCGGGAGGCTGAGGCAGGAGAATTGCTTGAGCCCAGGAGGCGGAGGTTACAGTGAGTCAAGATTGTGTCATTGCACTCCAGCCTGGGTAACAAGAGTAAAACTCCGTGTCAAAAAAATAAAAATAAAAATAACAGTAAATGTGCATGGATGCAGCAATACTATCAAAAGGCAGATTGTCAGAACAAGTCTGATTCAACAGTCTGATTCAACTTCATGCCATCTATCAGAGACACACGTTAGATTAGAAGATAGAAAGAGATTAAAGATAAAAGGATGGCAAGCAAATATACCACACAAAGCCATAAGAAAGCTAGAGTGGCTATTCTAATAACAGACAAAATAGACTTAAAAAAAGTCATTAGAGATAAAGAATAAAATTTTTAAATGATAAAAGAAAGGGTCAATCCATCAGCAAGATGTAACAGCCATAAATATTTATGCACCTAACAACAGATCCCAAATATATGAAGGAAAAACTGAAAGGAAAGTAGAAAATAGATAAGTACATAAAAAGAGTTGGAATATTCAATATCCTGTTTTCAGTAATAGAGCACCGAGACAGAAGATAAACTAGGAAATAGAAGACTTGAACAGCATTATAAGGCAAATTGACCTAAAAGACATCTGTAAAACTTTCCACCCAACATCAGAATACATATGAAACATCATATGTATAATACATCAACATCAGAATGCATATGAAACATTTCCAAAGTAGGCCATAAGTTAAAGCATAAAACAAGCCTTAATAAATATAAGTGGACTGAAATCGTGCAAAGCATGTTCTCTGACCACATGGGATGAAGTTAGAAAGCAATAACAGAAAGTTGGGAAACTCACAAATATGTGGAAATCAGACACACTTGTAAGTGACTAGCTGCATGCAGTAGCTCACGCTGGAATCTCAGCACTTTGCCAGGCTGAAGTGGAGGATCCCTTGGATCCCTTCAGGCCAGGAATTGAGGACCAGCCTGGGCAACACAGCAAGACCCGGTTTCTAAAAAAAAAAAAAAAAAATGACCAATGCTTCAAAGAAAAAAAATCATAAGGGAAATTACAAAATTATTTGAGATGAATGATAAGACACAACAAACCAAAACTTACAAAATGCAGCTTAAGCAATGTTTACAGGAAAATTTATAGTTATAAATATCTATACTTAGAAAGATAATAGCACTAATCTCACTTTACACCTTAAGACCCTGGAAAAAGAAGACCAAACTTAACCTAGAGCCAGGAGAAAGAAGGAAATATAAAAGATTAGATGAGAACAAATGAAATAGAGTAAAAAAAGTAGAGAAAAATCAGTGAAACCAAAAGTTGATTCTGTGAAAAGATCAATAAAATTGACACACCTTCTGCTAGTTTGACCAGGGAAAAAGGAGAATCAAATTACTAAAATCAGAAATAAAGGAGGGAACATTTCTACTGACCTTGTAGAAATAAGATTATGAAAGCATATTATGAATAATTTTATGTCAATAAATTATCCTAGATGAGGTGGACAAATTCCTAGGAAGATACAAACTACCGAAACCAATATAGAAATAGAAAATTTGAATAAACCTGTATCAAGTAAATAGGTTAAATGAGTATTTTAAAAGATACCCATAAAGAAGAGCGCAGGCTCAAATGGCTTCTTAAATGAATTCTAAAAAAGTTTTAATGAAAAATAATACAAGTTCTTCACAAACTCTCAACAATTAGAAGAGCAGGGAACACTTCTAACACATACTACAACATGGAAGAACCAGAATATGCCCAGTGCAAGAAGCCAGTCACAAAAGACTACATATTATATGATACTATTTATATGCAGTATCCAGAATTGGCAAATATATATAGATAGAAAGTGGATTAGTGGTTGCTTAGGGCTGATACAGAGTTTGGGGGAATGGGAAGGGCTGGGATAATAGCTGAAGTGTATGAAGTTTCTTTAGAGGTTGATGAAAATGTTCTAAAATTGATTGTGATGATTTCACAACTGAATATACTCAAAACCAGGAATTGTACACTTTAAATGGGTGAATTGTGTGGTGTATTAATTATATCTCAATAAAACTCTCAAAAATAGGGATGTCCATTGGTAGGAAAATGGGTAAATAACTTATGACACATCTATTTAGTACAATACTATGCAGCTATTAAAATAGTGAAGTGTATCTATGAATGTATTATGACCTGTACTCATGTCCAAGGTTGTGTATTAAGTTAAAAAACAAGATGCAGAAATATATATGGTGTGAATACATTTTTGTGCAAAAGCATTAATATATGTATAGTATGTATATATAGATATTTCTGAATAAATTTACGAAAAAGCTGGGAAATAGACATAGAAAGCTGTAAACCTTTGGAAGTGGGACTGAACAGGCTGAAGGAGGACTTTCACTTTGTACAATTTTTAAAGTGATGTGATTCGGGGTGAGTTTTACTTTTTTCAGCATTTTTTAAATAATTTTTTTTAAAATTCTGCCAATGGCGTGGCTTCCAGAATATTTTTCAGGCCTACTCTGGTGATACTATCTGACTATACTCAGAACAAACTCCTATTCCTTTGATACACTGCTCACTTAGGATTAACACTCCAATTTCAGACTTTGTTTAAGTGACAAGGAATAAATTATCCTGGTGTAGCCTCCTGCACATGTTGCCAGGGGCATACTTCTAAGCTGGACATTTGTAGAAGGAACTGCTTCCTGTTAGGTAGAAAATCTCACCTCTGCTTTTTACTAGACCTAAAGACCACTGCAATTAAGGAACATAAAAATGAAGGATATCCTTCAATTGGTGCATAAACTGTAGTATATCCATACAGTGGAATCCTACTCAGCAATAAAAACGAATGAAATATACACGCAGCCACGTGGATGAATCTTAAATACATTTTACTAAGTAAAAGAAGCCAAACTAAAAAGGCTACTTACTGTTTGATTCCATCCATATGATTTTCTCAAAAAGCAAAACAATAGGGATGGAGAAAAAATTTCAGTGGGTGTCAGTGGTTAAGGCTGGAATGCTCCTTGACTACAAAGTGGTCGCACAAGGAATTTGTTTTAATAATGGAAATTTTCTGTATCTGTATTTTAGTTACATAAGTATGTGCATTTGTCAAAACCCATAGATAGGCTTGTACACCAAAAAGAATGAAGTTTACTGTGTGTAATTTTTTTTAATAAATGTTATTTTTATGGAAGAAAAAAAACTTGGAGAGACAGCCATTTCTATTAAGTAGTGTTTTTATTTGTAGTCTTTTGATTACAGTTGAAAACTTAAAACCACTTTGCTATTATTCCTTATTTTCTGCCCACAGGTCAGCAGAAATCAGTTAGAAACATCCATAGGCCGGGCACGATAACTCATGCTAGTAATCCCAACACTTTGGGAAGCCAAGGCAGGAGGATCACTTGAGGGTAGGAGTTCAAGAGCAGACTGGGTAACAGCAAGACTCTGTCTCTAAAAAAAAGAAAAGAAAAACATTTGTATACAGATATACACATAAGCTCAACGTTCAGAAAACTCAAAAGACAAACTGGGAAATATATTTATCCCATACAAGGAGCTAATTTTTTAGTGTGCAATGTATAAAACTTTTTAGTATACAAAAAAATCCAATAAAAAAGTGGGAGAAGGAAATTTGTTGAAAATGTAAATGACCAATAAACTAAGTAGTAATGCAAATTAAGACAGTGGGCTCTCACTTTTAAAAACCTTTTTAGATTTATAGAAAAGTTGCAAAAATAGTAAGAGCATTCCCATGTATCCTCCCTCAGCTTCCCCTAATGCTGAGTTAAATCTTCACTTAACTATAGTGCAATTATCAAAATCAGGAAACTAATATTGATACAGCACTATTAAACTATATTAGACCTTATTTGAATTTTACCAGTTGTCCCATTAATGTCCTTTCCTGATCCAGGATCCCGTGTTGCATTTTATTATCTTCTTATTTTGTTCCCATTTGTGACAGTTCTCATTCTGTCTTTGATGACCATGACAATTTTGAAGAGTACTGGTCAGTTATATTGTATAATGTCCCTAATGAGGGTCTGTGTAATGTTTTTTCATGTTTCGCGTTTTTGGTGAGAATACCCAAAAGTGTTTTTAGCCCTTTTCAGTGCATTATATCAGGACATATATGAGGATAATTTTTAATACTGGTGATGTTAACCTGGATCACTTGGTTAAAGGGGTGTTTGCTGTATTTCTTTACTGTAAAGTTATCGCTTTCCTCTTTACAATTACTAAACATCTTCTGGAAGATACATTGAGACCATTCAAATATTTGGTTTCCCATCATATTTTTGCCCACTACTTTTAGCATTCATCAATTGTTCTTCATAGTAGCAATTATTACTGTAGTGTTTACCTAGTGGGGATTATCTTAATCTGTTTGTGCTGCTATAACAAAAAAAATGGAGGCAGGATAATTTTTAAAGAACAGATATTTATTTCTCACAGTTCTGGAAGCAAGGAAGTCCAAGATCAAGGTGCTGACAGGTTCAGTGTCTGGTGAAGGCTGTTTTTTCCTTCCAAGATGTCACTTTGGTGCTGCATCCTCCAGAGGGGAAGAACACTGTTCCCTTTTATGGTGGAAGGTACAGAATGGTAAAAAGGGCAAATCCCTTTTATAAGGTCATTGATCCCAATCATGAGGGCTCCACCCTCATGACTTAATCACCTCCTAGAGACCCACCTCTTAATACTATCACATTGATCACATCGATGATTTAGTTTCAGCATATGAATTTGGGGAGGCGCATTCAGACAACAGCAGTGATTTTCTATTTTTTTTTTCTACTCTTGAAATTCTGTAAGGAAGATGTCCTACCTCCTGCTTATTTTCTCATATATTTATATCAGCATAGATGTTTATTTTAATTTTACTCTATGGCTTATAACCTAATATTCTCATTGTTTCATTGCTCAAATTCTTTTACCTTTGGCCATTAGGAGCTCCTCTACGTTGGCCCCTCTGTTCTTAGACCTATGTCTCCATTTTTGGCCCACTTCCTTGTTTTCTGGCACCACAAGATGTTCCAGGCTCATCTTGTTTTTTCCCTACTCTAGCACTGGAATTAATCATTTCTGCATTGATCCATACTTCATTTTATTGGGAAACGATTTTTAGAAACCAAGATCTGGGCACTAGATGTTGAGTTGTCGTTTTTAGCTTATCAGAATGTCAGATATAAAAATTGATAACACCAAATGTTGCCAAAGGTACAGAAAATAGACACTCTTGTACTTTTTGGATGGGAATATAAATAAGTATAACCTTTGGGGAGGACAATTGACAATATCTATTAAAATTTTAAGTATGTAGATCTAGAAAATCCACTTTTAGATCTCTATTATATAGAAATATGTGTTCAAAGAGATAGGCAAAAGAATATTCATTATATTCATTGCATCATTATAATAGCAAAAGCCTGGGCACAAAAGTTCATCAGTAGGGAGCTGATTGATTTAAAATTATGGTACACCCATACAACAAAATACCATGCTGGCAATCAATCAAGAACCTCCTCATTGTTTAATTTAATTTAATTTAAAGTTCCAGGATACATATGCAGAACGTGCAGGTTTGTTACATAGGTAAACATGTGCCATGGTGGTTTGCTGCACCTATCCAGCCCATCACCTAGGTATTCAACCCCGCACGCATTAGCTATTTATCCTGATGCTCTCTCCTTCCCCCATCCCTACAGGCCCCGGTGTGTGTTGTTCCTCTCCCTGTGTCCATGTGTTCTTATCGAGAACCTCATTGTTATGGACTGAATGTGTCCCCTCAAAATTTGTATGTTGAAATCCTAAACCCCAATGTGTTAATATGAGGAATTGGAGCCTTTGAGAGATAATTAAGTCAGAAGGGCAGGTCCTCAGGGTGGGGTTAATGCCCTCAAGCAAAAATATACATATATCATTACTACTTACAAGACATTCTCTAAGATGCCATTGGGGTACTAGGATACATAATACATATATGGATCACTACCTTCAAGAATCTCAGCTTATAAGGGTGATAAGAAACGTGTTTGTAAGCTGTAATATAGAGTGATGAGTACCTTAAAGAAAGATGCAAACATTGTGGGAGTTTACATTCCATCTGGTGAGGGGATCAGAAACAAAAGAGAGACCCAAGAGTGCTCTCTCTCTGCCACGTGAGGATACAGGGAGAATTCAGCAGTCTGCAACCTGGAACAGGGTCCTCACCAGAACCTGATATACAGCCTCCAAATTGTGAAAAATTTCTGTTTATAAACTACTCAGTCTGTGGTACTTTGTTATAGCAGCCTGACGTCAGGCCCTTATTTTTTCAATTTGTACCTACACTGTCGCTTCCTCCACTTATGGAATAGCGTAATGGTCAAGAGCATGAAATCTAATGCCATATTCCCAGGGTATGGCTCTACCGTTTACTAGCTCTGTAACCAAATCTGGCTACTATTTGCTACCTGTGCAAACCTGAGTGAGTTAAACTCACTACACCTTCGTTTTCTCATTTTTAAATGAGAGCAATAATACTATTACCTCACAGAGTGGTTGTAAGAATTAATACATGTAAGATGTTGTGAATAGGGCCTGGTACATAGTAGAAGCTCAGTAAATGTTGGATTATCATTACAATGGATGAAGTGACATATCCATTACAATGGATGATGTTGCTATCAAACATCATCCCTTTTTTTGTTTTTTGAGACACAAGTTTGCTCTTGTTGCTCAGACTGGAGTGCAATGGCACGATCTTGGCTCACTGCAGTCTCTGCCTCCCAGCTTCAAGTGATTCTTCTGCTTCAGCCTCTCAAGTAGCTGGGATTACAGGTGTGTGCCACCACGCCTGGATAATTTTGTATTTTTAGTAGAGACAATGTTTCACCACGTTGGCCAGGCTTGTCTCAAACTTCTGACCTCAGGTGATCCACCCACCTCGGCCTCCCCAAGTGCTGGGATTACAGGCATGAGCCGCTACACCTGGCCTCATTGTGGTTTTCATTTGCATTTTCCTGATGTTTAGTGATGTTGAGTATTTTTTTCATATGTTTGTTGGCAATTTGTGTGTCATCTTTTGAGAAATGTCTGTTCAAATCATTGGCCCATTTTAAAACCACATTGTTTGTTTTGTTGCTGTTGAGATGAGTTCCTTGTATAGTCTGGATATTAATCCCCTGTTGGGTGAGTAGTTTGCAAAATTTTTCTCCTTCTGTAGGTTCTTTTTGCTCTGTTGATAGTTTCCTTTGCTATGCAGAAGCTTTTTAGTTTAATATAATACCATTTGTTTATTTTTGCTTTTGTTGCCTGTGCTTTTGAAGTAAATAGAGTACTTGAACAACATTTAAATCAATTAAACCTAACAGACAATCTATGGAACACCCAACAACAATAGAATACACATTATTCTCCAGTGCACATGAAGACTATTCTCTAGGACAGATTGTATGTTAGGCCATAAATCAAGTCTCAATAAATTGTAAAAGATTGAAACAATATGAAGTGTCTTCTCCAAGTCCAGTGGAATGAAAGTAGAAATGAAGAACAGAAGTAAAACTGAAAAATCCACAATTGAGTTAAAATTAAATGAAAGATGCTTAAACAACTAATGGAACAAAAAGAGACAAATGAAAACGAAAACACAACATACCAAAAATTATGGGATGCAACAAAAGCGGTGTTCAAAGAGATATTTTTAAAGTGAAAACACCTAATTTCTTTAAAAAAAGAATGATCTGAGATCAATAACCCAGCTTTACACCTTTAGGAACTATAAAAATGAAATCAAACTAAACCCAAAACTGGTAGAAGGAAGGAAATAATAAAGATTATAGTTAAGTATTGGGCACAGTGGCTCATGTCTGTAATCCCAGCACTCTGGGAGGCCAAGGTGGGAAGATTGCTTGAGCCCAGGGGTTTTAGACCTGCCTGGATAATACACTGAGATCTCGTCTCTACAAAATTAAAAAAATTAGCTGGACATTGTGGCTCATGCCTATCATCCCAGCTACTTGGGGGGCTGATGTGGGAGAATCACTTGAGCCCAGGAGGTCAAGGCTGCAGTGATCCATGATTGTACCACTGCACTCCAGTTTGGGTGACAGAGTGGGACCCTGTCTCAAAAAATCAATAATAGCTAGATAAATGAAATAGGAAATAGGAAACCAATATAACTATTAAAATGAAAAAAAAAAGATTATTTGAAAAGATCAC